TGGTTAGCAGCCGAGTGCCCACAAGGGCTCCTCATGGAGCTCTAAAACGCCGAATGTCTGATCAACGGCCCAGTGGCGTCAGCATGGCGACAGCGCCAAGCCTCACTAAAGACTCGGCTGGATCGCTGAGTCTGGAGGAGTCTAGCTGCCCAGCGGCGCCGCCTAGTGGACACGCGAGAAGGTGTATGCACCGCCGCCCCTGGAAAAGGATGCGCGCCTGGCAGAAGAAGACAGCTGCAGGCTCTTCCACAGCGCGACGGCCGCGCCACAGGCGTCTGGGGGCGGCGCCACAGGCATCCCAGGGGCGCCACAGGCTTAGGAAGGGGCGGTACCACAAGCGTGGTGGGGGCGGCGCCACGGGCGTCCGGGGGTCGGGCGGTGCGTGAGCTCCGGGTGCACACAGAGGCCTTCCGCATCGCAAGGGCTGCTTCCTGATTTAAGCGGCGCTGCGTGCCTCCAGCGCACTTTGAGCAGTAAGACGTGAGAAGCCCTCGCGGTGGAAGATGAGGGCCACCGCTGGACTGCGTCCCAGGGAAGCAACGCTGGCTCAGCGGAGCGTCCCCTCAAAGGAGTCCCCGGCCGGGGCTGCTTCCACTCCAGTCACAGAGCGCTCTTTCCACATCCACAGGATCCTGCTCGCACAGCCTGGTTTGCAGGCATGGAGGGGGCTCCTGGGTCCGTTTTTCATCACCCTCTCACTTGCACTGTGGAAACCTACAGCCAGTATGGAAGCAATTCTTCCGCACTTCAAACCTGGGGCAAAGGAGGCCCCAGAGAATGGTGATGGGCCAGACTTTTTTTCACACGTATTTACGTAGTTTCTTTACCGACACTAAGTAAGACTAGGTTTATCCAGGACAAAATGAGCTGGGAACCACAAGAACTACGGCCGCTGCACAGACTACACGGTAATTAGGGCCGACTCCTGACTCTGCGGTGGTTTTCCATCTGGGGCCTTAGTTCATGCTGCTCCCAGAGGGCCCAGAGCAGCGCCCCGTGATTACACTGGAAGTGTGAGCTACAGGACGGACGCCCGCATCTCTCCTCTTTTTTTTTTTTAATTAAGGAGAGGCCGGTCCATCTGACTGACGCAGTGTCTGCGGCCAGGGCTGGTTTATTCTACACACCCTTCAACTCCGCGCTGTTACCTGGCACGGGCAGCCTTCAGGCCACTTGTTCCCTGAGTGACAAGCTGGGGTGCCTCCACTGTACGGCCACCGCTCCAACCATGGCTGTCCAGTCCCGTCCGGCTCAGGACGACCCCACACGTGTCAGGGTGGAACTGGGCTCCATATGGCTGTCAAAGGCCGATGCCAGGCTGATTCCGAGGTTCTGCCAGGTGGACTCAAGCTGCCAAGCTTTCAAAGGTTACTAACCCGGCCCTTGACCGTCTGTGCCACGCAGGGACTCTCGCTAGGCTAGGAAAGCTGCCAAGGGAAAAGCCACCAACAAGGTTGCAGTGTGAAAAGCTGGTGTACCGTTAGATAAAATTCAGAATCAAAGCAAACTTTCCACTCTGATGACTGACACTTGTCAGTAAGACAATCCTTGACATGCTGTTCTTTAGGACGAATTTGAGAGATTTAAGGAAATATCACACAGATGAAGGATCAGTCTCTTCCGTCTTGAATACTGTACGCAGATACACAAGACCATCCGAATGCAAGAAACGTTGCAGAAGAGACACGGAAATGCCAATGTTTTCTTTTTAATCAAGCAAAGCACTCCAGGTGCTTTTTGTTCCCTTCTGAACTTTTTTCCCACAAGCACTGCTCCGACCTGCCCTTTGCTAGAACTAGCAGAACTAGCGCATGTGTTTAAAATGTAACAGGTGTAAACCGTCGAGGAAAGCGAGCCCCCATGAGGCCCTCCCCTGCCTCCTCAGCTGCTGAGTTTCCTAACAGTTACCAGGTGATGTGGCCAACCTCCAGCAGGGAACGAAGCAGAGCAACCAAACAGGTTTAATCAGCCAACTTGTCGTTGGTGTCGGTGCCAGGAAGTCGATTCTGACTCAGGGACCCCACGGACAGAGGAACACAACCCCACAGCGTTTTCTCCGCTGTGCTCTTTACAGGGGACTGCCAGGCCTTTCTTCCATGAAGCCACTGGGTGGGTTCCAGTCACCGACCTTTAGTTAACTGCCGAGTGCTTAGGCACTGTGCCACCACAGCTCCTGTAATGAGCCTATTAGTTAGCCAGGGAACAAGAGGGGACATTTCTTGCATTCAAACAACATAACTGACCAGAACAGGATTTACACACAAGACACTTGCCAGGCAAATACAAGATGGGCCAGCTGATTGGATTTCAGATAAAAGCCATAGTTTAAAACATAAATATGTCCCGAATAGTGCACAGGACAAAGTCATGCTAAAGAAAATCATTATTTATCTGAAATCCAAGTGGAACTCAATGTCCTGTTTGCACAGTTTAACTCTAGAAGCCGAACGTGTCCTTGTCAAAAATAAACACAATATCCAACTGAGTTACTCCAAGGAAGCAGCGTGAGTCTGACACACAGGCCAACAAACACGTAAGTCCTGAGGTAAACACGTAAACATTACATACAAGGAGGAAGCCGTGTCACCAAGAGGCAGTGTAATGAACTGACTGAGCAGAGTGGCATGTTTGTGGAAAAGGGAGGGAGGCTAGCACGGCCTTCCAGGACCCACAAACCAGCCCACCAGTGCTGCCCCACAACCAGGCGGCTGCTGCAAGGGCCGACAGCTCGTTCCTAGGCCACTGACCTTGCCCTCGTCTCCTACCGGAGATGTGCAGACATGCATCGCACGTCTTAATGACAGTTTTGTTCAAAACCAATCTGGGGAAGCAGCCAAGGTTGGCCACCTCAGTCCCCTCCCCGGCTCACCTCCCTCCACACTCAAGTCACAAAATCTCCATGTTACCTAGACTGACAGTCAATCGTGCGTAACCTGTTTTCAAGAGGAAATGTACTGAGTCCTGGGTGGCGCAAACGGTTGATGTGCTCAGCCACTAACTCAAAGGTCAGAGGTTTGAGTCCACCCAGAGGTCTGTTGGAACAGAGGCCTGGTGATGTACTTCCGCAAAATCAGCCGATGAAAAACCCTATGGGCACCGTTCAACTGTGACACACGGGACCAGGTGTTGGGGTCAGGCCACCACCACCACCTCGCGTTGGTGACACACGGGGGCACCAGGAGCCGGGGTCAACCTGATGGCCACTAACAGCCACCACCACCTTGCCTCAGTGGAGTCCAGGAGGTTTAGATGAATGTGGGGAAAGCATGCAGCCTGTGGAAATACAGCGTATAGCAAGGTCCCTATTTCAAGGCAATGGAGACAAGACTTAAGGCCACATGGATTACAGGAACATGCACCAAAGCAGACGCAGTCGATCCGACCGACTCATTCAACGACAATCTGAACAGCGAGGGGAGAACATCGTTTTACGTTAGGTGTAAAACCAGAACCAGAAAGGAAGAGCCTGGCAAGTCTGACTTTTACAAGTAGAAGGTCAAACGGCAAACTGGGGAAGGTATTTGAAGCATATGTAACAAAAGATCCATGCCCACCATATATAAAGAGCTCCTATAAATAAATAAGGAAAAGAAACACATTAGAAAAACGTGCCAAGTCCATGAACGGGGAAATCACAGGAGAAGCAAGTAGTCGCTAAGTGACAACACGCTCACTCTCACAACGAAGCCGAGAAACAGTGCTACAACCAGGACCGTCCGCCGTTTTCTTCTTTAAGGAAGGCAGAACTGAGAAAACTTGGAATACTCAGAACTACTGAGGGTGTAACAAAATGGACATGTTCAAAAGCTGCTACTGAGGGTGTAACAAAATGGACATGTTCAAAAGCTGCTGGTGGGTATGAAAACTGTTTTATTTAAGGTTAATTTGGCAGTATCTATCAAAATATATAAGATACGCATCACTCTCAATCCAGCAATTCTACTTAAACTGACCGTGCCTATTACTAGGGGTTCCTACCCTAGGGGTTACAGCGTATTTACTCTGTGAAGGAGCTCTGGTGGTAAAACAGGGGCTGCTCACCAAAAGGTGGGCGGTTTGAACCCACCAGCCACTCCTCAGGAAGAAGATGAGACAGTTGGCTTCTGTAAAGATTTACAGCCTTGGAAACCCAGTGGGGTCGCTATGAGTCAGATCAACTTGTTGACATTGAGTTTGGTTTGGGAAAGTGACAAGGTAAGGTGGCACAGTGGTTAAGCACTCGGCTGCTAACATAAAGGTGGGCCATTGGAACACTCCAGCCGCTGCACAGGAGAAAGACTTGGCTGTCTGATTCGTGAAGACGACAGCCTGGGAAACCCTGTGGTGCAGTTTGACTCGAGGACAGTGGGGTTTTCTGTGGGCGTGATGAAAAGCTGGAATAGACCTGAATGTCCACCCAGGGGCACATAAATCATGATCACGTCCTAGTTGTTGTTGGACGCCCACTGTCAAGCTGCAACAGGCAATGGCGCCATGTGACAGAACGGAACTGTCCCAGTTTCCTAGGCTATGCGTTAGGGAGCAGAGCACTAGTCATTCTCCAGTGCAGCTCTGGGCGGGTTAGAACCAACCCCCTTTCAGTTAGCAGCCGAGTGCTAAGCACTGTGCCAGCGGGGTGCCTCTCCCACGCAGCTTGGACTGTTCAGTCAGCTGTGCTCCTGACACCGGACATACTGTCTACAGAAGGAGAATTCTAGACTTAGCACCACACTCGTGAAACGTTCCCATCTGCGCCTCGACAGCTGCGCCCTTCCCGCAGGCCGGGCCAAGCAGCAGCCTTGGGGCACAGTGAGGTGGGCAATGAGGAAACGCAGAGCAGGCCTGGCGCGGGCACACGGAGTGGCTGGGCACAGGGTCCTGCTCCACTCATTCTCCCTGGGCAAGGGCCAGGAGAGCCTGGGGGGCAGGGAAGGCAGAAGGAATGCTGGGGCAGGAAGGCCGGGCTCCGGGACCCTCACCTCCACCACCCCCAGCAAGTGCACAAGCTGAGCATGCTCCATTCAGGCAGCAACCAGGGCCGAGGGGCCGGGCTTCCGGAAGGAGGCAGGTCCACGGGCAATAGCCCGGGGCGGTGGCGGGCTTGGACGCACCCAGTCCTGGCCCCTCGACAACTGAGGTCTGGGATGGGGTCTCAGGGAGGCAGCACAGGGCGGGGAGACGGTGCGGCTGGACCGACGGCGTAGCCGCTGCACCGTGACGCGGCAGAAGACGTGCTCAGTGTACGGCACATGGCTCAGTGCAGAGCCCTCACCTTCCACGTGGAAGAAACGGGACTGATGCCTGTGTGGTCCGCCTCGGGCACGGCCACACCTGTCTGTCGGGAAGCTCGTGTGTCACTCTGATGCGGAACAGGTCTCAGCAGAGCTTCTACGCTAAGACTGGGAAGAAAGGCCTGGCAACCTACTCCTTAAACTTACCCAGTGAAATCCTGATGGATGACAAGGGTCCAATTGACAATCTACCACGGGGCCGGCGCAGCACCGGGCGGTGTTTGGCTTTGCTGAGCATAGGGGTGCCGAGAGTTGGCCTCCACGGCTCCTAACAACAGTGAGAGCTTCCTCCTCCGCTTTGCCCAGTGCCAGCAGGAAGAGTAGAGGAGAGCAGACGGAGACAGCAGCTTGCCGTGCCTGCAAGGACGCAGACGTCGCCCAGGGGAGACAAGCGCCCCTCAACGCGGTCAGAGGTGTGCCGGGCACTGACCAACAGCTACAGGCACCAACCACAGCATCCCCACGTGTGAGACCCTGAGAGTCAAAGACGCCCGAGAGACCCAGAGCCAGCATGGCAGGCTATGCCGACAGCGGGGTCACAGAAGGATGAAGGGGTCTAGTGTCGGCCCAGCACAGCTCAGCCGAGGCAGCTCTACACCAGCCCCCGACGCGGAACCTCCCGGCACACTGTCCCGTTGGCCCTGCGTTGGTAAGCACTATTGGGAACCTTCTCCCCGGCATCTAGAGAGTGTCCCCTCCAGTGTACCCTGTCCCCATGGACATTTTAGGTTCCTCTTCATCTTGTATCTGTAGGGCTTCACCTGCCTAAAACTGTGTTCCGAGTTTCCAAGACAACCCAAGCCCACCCTCTACGAGCCCACCCCTCAGTCCTGAAGGTCAGACACCGCTGAGGGCCACCTTCAGCACAGCCCAGGCCGCCCTGCGAAACACTTCAGGTGGCAACCAAGAAGCTCCTGAGGGTTTCACACCAGTTCTCTATTTCTCCGTCCTCCCCGGTCGCCTTCTAAAAGCACGGTGCCTGACGCGTCCCAACATGCATTCCATCCACTCCCTCCCTTTTCAACCTAAAACCAACCATCTGCATACGTCACAGCTCACCGATAACTAGTAATCACGTTTTTGAAATCCCTGATGTTACAGACTTGATTTAAATCACAGGAAATACAGAGAACTCAGGGTGGAAGCGTGACCAACATTTAAGGTCAAAATGATGCCCCCAACAGTCTGTGTGATGAGTGAGCTGTCCAGCAGGTTCAGGACGTGCAGTCAGTCACTGGCTTTACAGACAGGGAACCGCTGATCCTTGGGTTTATGTGGAAGCCATTGCTGGATCTCAACGGTTTCCACCACGAGGTCCAGCTGTGGGCAGTTTTCTCCAGAATGGTAACATGCGCAGTGCCACCAGCAAACAATCATTTTAAACACACACCTCAAGATACAACTAGGTTTAAGAGATGCAACAACCCTTGTGGTGAATTTGGAACATGGCACCCGCCAGCCACTCCGCAGAAGGAAGACTGGGCGATCTACTTCCGTAAAGATTTACCACCTTGGAAACCCAAAGGGGGTCACTATGAGTCGAAATCGACTCGATGGTAGTGAGTCTGGTTTTTGGGTTTGATCTTTAGGAAGACTGACTGCATCATCTTTCTCCAGCTGGACGGCTGGTGGGTTCCAGCTGCCAACCTTTTGGTTAGCAGGTGAGCACTTAACCTCCGTACCACTAGGGCTCCTTCCCACAGTAAGAGCTCAGGGACCAGTGAGGACCAAAAACAGCACTGGCACAGAACATGTAGTGTCAAGAGAGCAAGAAATACAGCTCCCCAGAATCCTGGATCTGACAGTTCACCCTAAAAAGTCACAAATTCATTCGTGTTCTACATGGCAGCACCGCTACTATGTTCCATTCATGGGGCGTGTTCAGCCTGAAACAAGTTGTGCGCTCACAGGAAATAATAAACACCAGATGAGCCTTCACTGCCACCGTTACTGTCATTGTCGTGATAACATGGCGTCTAGATGCGCAAACAGGTGTCCCAGGCGGTGCCGACGGTGGACGCGCTCACCTACTCAAGGGAAGGTGGGGAAGTCAAGGCCACCCAGAACTGCCTCGGGAGAAGGCCTGGCAGTCTGCTTTCAAACACTCAGCCCCTGGACATCGAGCTCAATCAACACCACACACTACACAAAACACTACTCCACATCCCACTCGGACGAGTAGCGGCTGGGATCTTAAAAGCTTGCAACAATGGGTCTCTCCTCGTCCAGAGCAAAGAAGAATGAAAACCAGAGATGCATGGAAACAATTAGTCCAAGGGACTGGTACACCATGTGATCCTCAGCCTACACAACTATGAGACCAGAAGAACTAGATGGTGCCCGGCTACCACTGTCAACCACTCAGAGGGGGATCTATGTAGGAGATCCTGGATAGAGAGGGAGAACAAGGTGGAACAAAACTCAAAATCATTAAAAAA